ACAGCTTATGGTTATGTGTCACTGCAGGATCAGTGGAAAACAAATGTTTGCCTTCAAAAACTTTACCCCGTTCTTTCATTTTGATATAGATGTAGTAAAGAATTTGTAACTCAAGATTTCCCCATAAAAGAGCTTTTCAGCATGTCCTCACCTATTCTAAATCATTTACAGGTTAGAGGCTACCACAGAATGCAGACTTCCTGAAAACCTTGAAATTGCTCAGCGGGACAAAAAAAGGAGTTCCTTGAAAAACAGTTACAGTTCAACACAGTCCAGTACAGGAGACAGAAATGTAACTTGAGACAAGATCCAGGAGAAAGTCATCTATCAAATCTTTGCAGAGAATCCAGCTGCACACGCTCATAAAGATGAACAGAGAGACAGCAGACACTTGTTTTAGGGGTTAAAAGAGTCCATGTCACAGGTTGCTTTTGGAAAACACAGGCTGGGATCGATATGCTACATAGTTCAGGTTGCCTTCAACAAATTGCTCTTTAGTTTCAATGTAGAGTATATAGAGATGTTTTTGAAGGACATACATGACAAAAGGTGCGGGGATGTAGCCTTGGAGAGACTAACATTATGTCACAGTCAACACCAAGCCTCATAACAAGTCACATGGGTCACTTGGTTTACCCTGAATGGGAAAACTATGTCCAGCGGCATATACAGATCAAACCTGATTGACTTTAGAACAACTCACATAACATTTTATCTTAGTTTCAGACATTCAATCAAAATAAGCATATGCTCATTTAAATCTGTTACAGTTAAAAAAAATTATTCAAATGTTCTGAATTAAAGAAATTAGCATGAGTATTTTTTTGTTTGTTTTTTTAGATCATATTGAACTTTCTTTAAATTTAGAGGTTTACATCGAGTGGAATTAACTATGCCTTAAGCCATCAAGGGAATCCAAATGATGATGTCATCATGTAATGGCTTATTAAACTTTGCTCACTGTTGTTCACCATGTGAAATTTTTGTATTTTAATGGAATTCACAATGGGCTTGGCCAAATGCCTCTACAGCACTTAGAGATCTAGATGTAGTCACCTAATATCATACTCTAATCGCTGCCTGCACTTTTTATTTTGTTGTATATTTGACAAAAGATTAATCTTTTCTTAGAATACAATGAGCGTATAGTGTAGTTTTTATAAACCTTTTTTAAATACATTTTTGTTCTATATTTATATATTGGTCCAATATATTAAATTTGTGCAGATCACCATTGTTTTAATTCAGCATTTTAACACCAAATGGATTTCTGTCATGCAGAATAAGTTTAAACTCATACAACAAGCAAGAGTCAACCACGTATTTATCCAGTTATGTTTCAGGGAGCACTCACATGCAGTGCATATGGTGCTCTGTTGAGTGTCCAAATTACGAAAGAAGCTTATTTATTTCAAGGGAATAAGATACTTTTACATTGTGTAATGGGATCAAGATGAAAGGCTGTTATTACAAAAGAAAAGAGAAGATGTTATGAAGCAATTGACATGTAATCTAAACTGAAGCCAGCTTGTTCAGTCTTAAAGTCTGGCTTCCATAATTAAAGAGAACCCAAACATGTAACATATTGCTACTGATAGGTTTTCATTTTTCCCCACTTTTTTCTTTTTAAAAATGGTCAACTCAATATGATTGACATCCACCAATTTAGGGATTTTATTTTCTTAATTTACACATTGCAGTTTTGTGGAACTTGATGAAAGCAGTTTAGGTAGTGACTCACAGTTTTGCTTACAAAACATTGCTTAGAGTTATTTATAAAAGTGTTATGATTGGAAGGTCTGTGCATTATTTTCTAATCTTATTTATGTACACACTTTGTGTACTTCAAAGAAAGGCAAAGCAAGTTCATCCATGTAGCATATTTTAATAGCAAGACAATCTAAATCGCTGTACATAACTGGTAAATACACAGGATGTATGTGATCATGGCTAGATCATTTAAAAAAGATTAATAAAATGATTGATAATAGAAGAAATGTCAGAGGTTATTTACTAGGTGCCATTTACTCTGTGGCCTAGTGGTTAGGGCATTGCGCTTCGAATCTAGAGGTTCTGAGTTAAAGTCCCACGGACTGATACCCTGGGTTCCTGAGCAAGAACCTTAAACTCACACTGCTCCCCTGGTGCCGTACAATGCCAGTCCACTGCTCCACAAGGGGATGGGTTAAATGCAGAGAGTTCATTTCGTTGCTCTGTACTTGTGACAGTGTAATGACAATAAAAAGGCTGAAAAAAATACCCACATTAGTCAGACCTATTTGTGGTGCTTGTTGGATTCTGGCAGGGCTACCATCTGTCACCAGTCAACTTTATGGATAAGGTTTCTATGTACAGTCAAGGGTCGAAGGTAGTCTGTTTAGGGGTACAGCATATTTTGTCCCTGCCTTTTGCAGATGACATAGTTCTACTGGCTTCGTCCTACCAAAACCCAAAGCCTGCACTGGGTGGTTCACAGCTGAAAGTGAAGCGGCTGGGATTAGCGGTTGCTGCTTCAGTCCAAAGCAGGAAAAGGGGATCAGAGGAGTTAATGTATCTCTGAGTCCAGTTCATGGGGAGGTTGAGAATGGGGTGGGAGACTGATATTTAGATCGGTGCAGCAGCCACCATAATGTGAACACTGCACAGGTCTGTTGTGGTCAAGAGAGAGTTTAGCCAAAAGGCAAAGCTCTCAATTTGCCAGTGGCTTAAATGAGCTTTCTCCATAGGGAGTCTTGGCACCCCCTTATAAGATAGGACGGGAAGCTTGGACATGTCGGAGAGGCTTGGAGCAAAGGTGCTTTTCTTCTACATTGAGAGGAGACAGCTAAGATGGCTTGGAAAATATTTTGGATGCCAGCTGGACGGCCCTCTTTACAAGGTCTTCTAGGCAAGGCATGGCCCAACAGGAGGAGCCCAGGAACCCCTGGGGGGTCCCTGTGTCTGAGCTGCCCTAGCAGCATGGAGGAGTTGTTTGTGGAGAGGGAAGTCTTGAACTCTCTGCTGAGATATTTGCCCCAGTGTCTTGGTCCCGGATAACAGAAAGGTGAAGATGTGACTATGTATATATCTGTGTCTTTATCTATGAGTGTATCTGAGGGTGCTTGTCTGTTGCGCCGTATGTATCAATATTTGAACGCGTCATCTTTCCAACTAATTATCTGTCTTGAAAGAGGTATCTAACAACATATCTTGCTTGATTGTGAACATTGTAGGAACATGTCTCTGATATTGCTATTAATACGGAGTATATTATGATAAAAGATTTAATTTGTTGGCTCTATCATTCCCTGATATATTCAACATTTCGGACTCCCTTCTTATAAGTTAAACTCTTTAGACTTGTTCTTCTTAGTGTTAGGAAGAATACCAAAAAAGGAAAGGTAAGGAAAGATACCCCAAAATTGCTTAGCAATATGGCCACAGTTTAAATTGTTCATTCAAGTATCACCTTTGTTTGACTTGATTACCTTCTAATATTCTTTTTTTTTCTTTTTTTTTCATTATCCAGTGCTGAATAGCATTTCTGTGTTATTCTCAGATGATGTTTCATTCTGTCAGAATTGGTATTACAGATAAATTATTCCTTGCGTTCATCAGAGGGTGTAACACTTCATACAAATCAATCTGTTTTGGGTCATGGTTAATTGTGTGCTTACTGGATATCAGCTGTGTGTGTTGCATGGCTTGGCCTTACACATGCTATCACCAGTTACCTGAGCTGCTGAGTAGCATGCAAGGCATACTCACATACAGTAAACTAAGCACTACTAGGCTTTGTTAGGTTACATGATGACTGAAGAGAGTGCTGAATTGCTGTTACCTTTTTGTAATGTAAATAATTGAGATGTGTGAGGTACTCCAATAGTTCACATCAGTGTGCAAATCAAGACTTTGTTAATCCTTATAGAAATAATTTTACCTAGAATCAAAGCCTTACCCCAATAAAGCTCAAGATGTCATGGGGACTAATGGCAAGTGATACAACTCAGATTTCATGCAAATACCACGTTAGATCATAAGTATGAAATCTAACGCCAGATTCATTGATTTATTTTCTTCAAAAAGTATAATACTGAAAATAAAATGAAAGAAGTGATGTCACAACCTGTGTATGGGAGAATTTACTGTAAGACATTATAAAAAAGCAGGACAGATTGACAGGTTGACATATTAGCCTTAACCAGAGACACGTCTCAACTATATAGAAAGTAATTTCATTTTAAAGACCATCCTAAATCTCAGTGCTACATTTGACTTTGAATGCCCAACACATAATAAGACTAGATAAATTAGACTTCCTTATTTTATAAAAATTCAAAGAGCAAGAGGTTTTTCTAGACCAATACAAGGTTATGGTTATTTGCATGTCTTGTGCCTAAGTTATGCTGGTGAACATTCTCAGTCATGCAGGTCAAAGTCATTCCAAAAAAGTTAAAGAACAATCCACTGCCTAAGTTCACTTGTATTTAAGATAAGACTGTTGACTGTAGAGATTTAATTCAGTTTATGTATGTGACCCTCACTGCTGTTAAAATCTACAGTAGTTTTTTAATAAGGCATATCACCTGATTGATTGTGCAAGGGGTACCAAATGTGTGAAAGAGTTGTATCCCACTAATATAAACATGTTCAGCTTGCCCTGTTTTAAAGGGCAGAGTTACATTAAAACAGTCATATATCAAGTCAAGTCATTTTTTATAGCCTATGCCATACAATATGAGAATCATAGACTTAATAGACTGGGAAAACATAAATATAAAACAATCAATACATATAGTAAAACTATAATAAAAATATTTAAATCAATGGCAACAAAATAAGTCATAAGTGGATTAAAATTAGTACATATTTACAGTGAAGGATCAAGTAGAGTATCCATCTCATACTACCCAGGTTATGATTGCAACAGGTCAATCAAACCATCATAAAATCTTGCTATTGCACTAATGTGTGCGTCAGAAAAATTAATGGCACATGTTTATATTGTTTTTCCTTTGCAGTCGGACTCTTCAGTAACAATAACCTGTACAAATGGGAAGTGGAACAAGCAGGTGTCTTGCGAGCCAGTCGATTGCGGTATGCCAGACAAATACCATGTGCATCCTGCCAACTTCCATTTCCCAGAGGGCACTACATATGGCAAGAAGATCACCTTTGTTTGTCGTGAACCTGCTCAACTCATTGGTGAGAGTTGTCCCTTTCCTTATGTATATGGGTTTTAAAAATGTTTTATTCAAAAATGTATTGTTGAGAGTTTGTTGCTATTAGTTTTTTTTTTTTTTTTGCCTTAATAATAATTCTAATAGAAATTAAAATTACTGCATACAGAGGCCAGAGGGTGCACACAATGTGTAAATGCATGGTTTCACGGTAAATTGAAAAGATCCTGCAGGTTAAAAAAAATAACTACCAAACAAAGAAAATTTGACTACCACACTAACACAAAAGCCACATATGAAGACAAGGTTGTAAAAAAGAAATCACAGAAAATGGAGAGCAACAAAGAGTAAACATTCTGCAAACACATAAATGATGCTAACACACAAAAGAAATACAAGAGAAAATGCTGCAAGTCGCGAACACAACTACAAGTGAAGAAAACCTGAAAACTAGTGCCAAATAACTGAAGTGCTTCACTACTGGGGGACAGATGTCATTGGAACAGACTAGGCCTGAGCGATATTGTAAAAATTCAAAACTGCAATTTTCCCAACCAATATTGCAATTGCGATTTTGTTTGTATTTTTATTTGAATTACCCACTAGCATGTAGACATTTCACTCTTAAGTTTCAGTTTTTTTTTTTATCACCTTTAAAGTTAAACTGTCCAGAGTCCATTGTTGCAGGACTTTAACCTTTTTGGGAAAAATAACTCACTTCTTCTTGCATGCATGAATCTGCACACTCACCGCAAATTTCATTTCCCATCTTTGTGGATCTAAACCCACTTTAAGCATATTACCACTAACTGAAGGGCTGGGGTGCGAAGTGTCCTACTCTTGTGAAGTGATATGTACTGTAACTGAAACTGTATGCCTCTGCAATTTAAAATTAGGTTTGTTTAATTGCAGTTAAATTGCAATTGCAATTACTTGTGTTTGGTCCATAGACATTCATCCATAGTAATGTCTATGTTCTGGTCCCTTATGACTTGATAATCATCCTCTCATCCCAGTGCTCTGGAGCTCTTTTATTATGTGGTGCTATATTGCTGATTTTCTTAACTTTTTTTTTTTTTTTACAACTTGCAACATTCTTCCTTTGCATGTGTTTTATTTGTTGCCAGCATCATTCATACTTAAAAGTGGGTTTGAAGTTACATTTAAAGTGGGTTATGTGTTTGCCACATGTTTGCACTTTGCTGATCTCTACAGTATATTCTGTAATTGCACCTTTTAAAAAAAATGTTTTAGGTGTATGAGTTCTATAGTCTATTTTTTTTAGTTTGTAGGACCTGCTTTACTTGCTGTGAAATCGTGTATTTGCATGGTGTTTGCACCCCTCATACAGTGTAACTTTATATCCCGTATCCTATATCTAAAGTATTGGTGTTTTGCTCAATATCACTTTAGAACAGAAATCAGCATTGTATGCTTAATTGGACTAGCCATTTTTTTTTAACTTCATAGCCTCAAATACAAGAAAATGTATTTTGAAATGAATCAATGAAAATCTCTTATTCTGATATTGAACGCAGTGTTTTGTTTTAGTGGTATAGAATGTAATAAATAACAGAACATGTGGTCAAACAACAATACACCAACCATGTAAAATTTATACCAAACTAGTTTTTAATTTTAGAAGAAATTTAATTTTTTACCAGTTTAGATGTTAAACATCATGAGAGGAGACAATAGTGATCTGTTTTGATAAAAAAATGTGTATGAAATAGAGATTTGAAAGAAAATATGATTATCGATTTAGTTTATTTACCAATAGAAACATTTGTCTCTCTTGTTTTCTTTCAAGGAACCAACAACACTCTTACCTGCCAGGAAGATGGTCTGTGGTCCTTCCCTGAGGCTCTTTGTGAACTACGCTGCCCAGCCCCTCCTCCTGTACCAAATGCTGTGTTACAAACAAAGCGCTGCAATGAGACCGGCCTAAAAGTTGGCACCCTTTGCAAGTACAAATGCAAGCCAGGCTATCATGTTACCAATAAACCCAAAAGGTAAAAAGAATAGATAATCTTGCTAGCTGTTTTCAATCAAAATGTAGCCTCATGTGTTTTTTTTCATTGGTCTTTGCCCCTTTCAGGCGTGCATTTAAGCGTCAGTGCACAGAGGATGGTACCTGGCTGGAGGGGGCATGTGAGCCAGTGACTTGTAATCCTCCGCCACCCATTTTCCATGGTTCTTACCACTGCACTGATGGCTTCCGCTTTGACAGTGTCTGCAGACTTAACTGCTCAGAATCTGCCGGTAATCGTGAAGGAGGCTCTATCCATACGGTGAGGTTGCTGCATTCTTCCTGCAAGCAGGTCTGTCTATCTCTTTCCTGTCTTTCTACTCTTGCTTGTTTATTTATAATTTTGCTAAATTAATTATATACACATTTTATTTTGCTCTTTTCATTTCAGTTTTCCCTTCTTCAATTTAAATCTCAAATTTGTAATTTCAGTAGACTCCTTAAGATATCCCCCCCTAAAAAAAAAACAATTTGTTTAAAAGTTTTTTTTTAAGGGTTTTTAATTTATTTTCACACACCGCTCTGACTATGCATGTTTCTTCTTGTCTCTCTAAACTCTATTCAATTTGATGCAATGCTAATTAGGTTGCTATTGATTTTTAGAATAGCTCTGCCTGCTTCAGACATGGAAATGTATACACCTTTTAATCTGTTCTGCCTCTCAGGCATTGTTGGTTTGAGGCCTGATAAAAACTGTATTGTATTTCTCCATATGCTATGCAACGCCATCTCAATGTCCTTCACTTTCCAGCATCTGTGTACCTTCGAAGTACTAGTGTAATTATTAGTCTGTCAATATTTGTGATGTTTTCAGGGTGCAGCCTCCAATATGATCCGCTGTAGGAAGGATGGAAACTGGACTGGGTCATTCCACCTGTGCCCGAACAGCAAAGGCCAGTGCTCATTACCGCAAAACCTGCATTATAGCCTACAGTACTCATGCAAGCAAGGATATGGCATAGGTATGTATAAAAAAAACAAAAACAAAAAAAAAAACATGAGTTTTTGTTTACATTAGGTATCAATGTGAATATATGATGATACAAGTTTACAGTCTGTGATTTTGATAGGAAGACAGTCCAAAAATAAAGATAAAACTTGAGCTTTATGGGGATAAAACTGACTTGTGCATTCATTCAGTTTAAGCCTTTGTCTTAAACGTGTTCAGGTGAGGAGTGTGAACTGTCATGCAGAGAGGGTAACAATGAAGTGGTGATTCTACCGAGTAACATGACAGCAATTTCTCTACTGGGACAACACTGGTGGAACCCGCAAAAAGTCAAGGTAAGTTTATAACTATGTGTATTTCTGTCTTCTTAATAGGTCTGACAAATGCACTTCACAAAGTTCTGTGATCCACATCTCTCCTGTCAGGAATTTCTCATCCAGTGCCTATCCCTGCTGAATAACCTACAATGCAATACACTAACTTGCCTGACCCATCACTAGACAAATATTTGTATTTTAATCATGGTCTTGCAACTCACCATTGAATATTATGTCAAGTCATAAAAATGCACAAAGCTGCAAGAGGGGACTCACAAAATATATTTTCATTTAAGGTTATATCGGTCTTATTTTATATTATAATATTGAACACTGACCCGACTTGCTTTGGATTACTCTAGACAGACTGATCTAAGTCCAATCCAATTAATACACTCAGATGTTTAATTGAATTTCCATTTGGTAATAATAAAGTATTATGAATTGAATTGAATTAACTGGTTCAAACTGGGATCCGAACCAAATTAATGGTAATAGATTGAATAGGTTGCAATTTAATATCTTAAGAACATGAACACAAATAAATTATATATTTAACTTTTTAGTGGAATTAAAAACTTAACGGCAAAACACTATTCATCTAACCCCAGAAAAAGCGTATCCCTCACTGCTTTTCCAATGCTTTCTTTCATTTACCCAATGTATTTTGTAGTTATAGCTTGCTGATATAGGAAATGACATTATCCATCTTAATAAGTGATGATAAATCATTAAATAAGTGTATTTTTTGTACTTAGGACGAAACACTGACTTTCTTTATACTTCTTTACGTACATTCCCCTTCTGTTCCTTTCTTCCTTTCTTTCTTTGATGATATGTGCCCAGCACCCCCTCCCCTACACCCACAATCCTTATGAGCAAAATTACCCTGTCGAGCCGGCTGCCGAATTAGTCATTTTCTATATGACATGACCTCGTCTGTGGTGGCGCTGAGATAGAGATCTATTTTTATGTGCTATGAGTGCCCCAGGGACGTTTTCGAGGGTGAGGATCCCATACGTAGCTGGGGTGAGACCAGGCCAGAGTCATGGATTACCATGATTTACGGCCTGACTGAGAGAAAAGAGGAGCAGAAAGAGAGAGAGGGAGTGTGTGTGTGTGTGCGTGGGGCAAATTTTCAAGGAATATGTTACATTATTGGAACTTACAGGCCCTTGTTTTTTCTTGGGTTTGGGGCTAAGTTTAACACTAAGGTGTAAATTGAGTTATGGTCAGGTTCAGGGTTAGGTATCTGTTGGCAATGGTTAGACTTTGGGTAAGATTCTGGGTTAGGGCATGGAAATTAGTGGGAAACCATTAGAAGTCAATGGAGAGTCCTCGTAAGCATAGCGGGAAATAACATGGATATGTGTATGTGTGAAAGAGAGAGACACAGAGAGATAGAGAGCGCGAGAGAGAGAAAGCATATAGAGGGAAGAAGTATAGGTTTCTGGATGACATCATCTTATATGATGACAAAGGAAGAAGAAAACTGGAAAATCTGCAACACACACACACACATATTCAAGTTTCTCTATCCTTGTGGGAACTTTC